TAAACTGGGTGCGCTGCAGCTCTGATTGGTATCATTTTCATAACTTAAACAGTTCTGGGAATATTTAAATTGCACAGCTAATGTAGTTTTATTCAGACCCGAATCACTAAATGATACGACTGCCGAAAATCCACACGAGGTTGCGTTTCTGACATTCGTAGACAAAAGTTGGCATAACAATTTCATGCAACTAAATCCAGTTCCCCTCAAGAATGAGGTGTATTTTTTGCTGGATCAACCCCCCGCCAACAGACGGACGTCTCACCTGCGTGGTTTACGAATGTCCCACAGTCCAACTCCTTCCTTTGAGTTGGCCGTGGCCAGCAGCCGAGGCTCCACAGGGTTGAACATCACGCTGTGAAAGGCTGAAGGGTAACTAGCCAGGCAGAACGGCTCTGCGGGGGTTGAAATAAATACAAACAAAGCGGTGAGAGTTACAACTGCCTCAGAGAAAGATTCTACTTATGTAGTACAAAGATGTGTACAAAAATAAGAAAGAGAAATACAACATGTACAGCGATTTGGAAACATATTAATTTGTTTTTGTCAAAAACACTACGACCAAAGATTTCTTCCTATTTGTTCAATAAGGGAGAATCAAAACATTTTAACACATTCGAAAATATGATTAGACGCAGTTACTGGGTGGAGGTTAGTGATACAAATCACACTTCTTCACGTGACTTGTGTCGTGAGGAAGTGCATTATGGGAATGTTTTTCAAGATCAGTATTTGTGTTTGCGGGGCTGTAATTACTGTGACACAGTCATGCAGTTAACTAAAAAAAAAAAAAAGGTGAAAAGTAGTTCTTATTGTCACTTTTATTGTTATCACAAAGTATTGTGATGAACACAAGTCTGTATCTCCCGGCGCTCAAAATGTAGCATAGTCACAGCTGAAGGCAGTCCTAAAAATATTCAATTGGGTGTGACTTTTCTTAGGACGGACGCTATTAACATCTTCCTGTTGAGAACATTAATAGGCCTACACAACAACAGGCTCACAGAGAGCGACGGCCGGCTGGTTATTATCAGACCCACTGGGTCACAAGGAAGGTTTCTAAAATAGGTGATGCATCCCGTTTGTATTTTAACACTATGGAGCCTCGCCAAGTTAACGTGACGACATTTCCTTTTGTTGTCCAACAGCTTGTTATCACAACAATCACAGAACAAGCTTGTGCAATACTTAATATCAAATGAGGATTTACGTCTTTTCACAAATCCAAGCAGAAACCTTCCGCCAGCTTCCTCTTAAAGTCTCAAGCAATACTTAGTTTCTGATGCTTATAAAAGATCCGCTAAACGTAAGACTCCTCCAAATGTTTTTAGATGCTCTACAATGATTAAAAAAAAACAACAACCATTCCATATAGAAAACTCCGATTTAACATTTTGAATTTGGGATTAAACCCGTCCTCACCTCCATGCGACGGCTCCCGAGTGTCCCAGATCAGAACGCGGCCGTCGTCGGACGAGCTGGCAAATATGCTGTCGTTGACGGGGCTGACGGACAAGCTGTACACAGCGTCTATATGCAGGAACACGTTCAGAGTTTCCTGACTGCAGGAGCAACAGTCGGCCACAGGTTAATTCAAATCAGCAGTGTGACGCATCAGCCGCCCGTTTTACAACGGCAGAAAAGTGCTTCAGAAACAGAGTCGTGGATGTTGTTGTACCCACCTCTCCACATCGTGAAGGATCACCTGTTCGTCGTTTCCTGGGACAGGAAAAAGCACAGATATGAGTGGATGATGAGTGGGTTTTAATTACAAGTTTATGAAAACAAAGGCTATGAAGCTCTCAAAATGTGCGGTTCCTCATTTGAAAAACATAAATAAATAAATTCGAACTCATATTTTTGAAACAAAACTCCATTGCAGTTCGCACTGGATGCGATAAACACAAAATGGCTTTTTTCCATGCGCATTTTGAATATCGCATTACCAACGGTTGAAGGAAATGGCAAAATTCCAAGACACATTTGTTATTTTTGCAAAAAAGTTTTCACGTTCCCTTGAGGTGGTTTTCAGATTTGCCCAAAAAAAAAAAAACAGAAAAAAGAAAAAGAGTTAACATGCAAAGGAAGAAATTCCCTAAATAAGTTCGGATGTAGCAATTTTCCCATCCACTCAGGAGTCTCTGCCTCACCAGAGGCATGACAAATTTCAGTCCAAAACCTAAGTTTGGGAACGGAGAGCTCTTCCCAAAAGTTTGCTTAAACATGACGATTGGATGGATGCACAGCTCGTGTTGACTGGTGGGAAGGGCTTTTTTTTTCAAGGCTCAAACACTCCATCCCTGGAGTGAACTTCGGTGTCGATGAATCTGGCTAAAAATTCAGCTTCATGTCGGCTAAAATTAAAAGCGGGAGCGATCGGTGACACAGTCGCTTGATCTTTTCATGTGTGGGTCCAAAAACATGAATTAGAGGAGCGTGTGTACGCGTTTGTATCTCCTGTGCATCTGCTGCCAAGTCTGCGCTCTCGCCTTACCGCCGGAGAAGACTTTGGAGTTGGAACTGTCGAAGGCGAGGCAGAAGATGTTGGAGAGATGCTCGCCCTTCAGTTTCACCGGCTTGGAATGGGAGTGGATGGCTTTCTCGATATCCCACAGCAGCACACGCCGGTCATCTCCTCCTGATGTGGAGAAACAGAAAGACGCCTGTCATCACCAAACTGAAAGGTTTGAGGGAAGCTTTTGCCAAGCACTGAACTGAAAAGGTGTTTCTCACAAACAGATTTCAATGCTCAAAGAGGCAACACGGCTTGCTAGTCTCTGAACGGGCAACTTTGCATCATCAATCCTTTTATCAATAGATTACCTGAAAAATGACTCGAAACAGCAATATTATTCTGGGACAATTTATCATCCAGAAAAAAACTATGCCTCTAACTAAAGAGGCAGAGTCAGGATTTCTTCAGTGTCCTGAAGTTGAGTGAACTGATGACACCAGAGCAGTGGGTTTAATTGATGACGTCTATAGGACAACCTGAGGGATGAAAGAACAGGTGGAAACAGTCTGCCAACAGCATCACTTTCCCTTCATTTGCTTCAGCATACACGGCTCTGTGAAATGGTTTCACCAACGCCCCTACTTTTCCAAACTAATCAGGAAACCTCCGGACCAACTTGATGCGCTAACGAGCCTCGCTTTCACGCCAGTGTCCGTGGCGCGGCCGCGGGGCTCCACTGAAGTCAACGACGCTCAGTGAATTAACCCGCAGTAAAGCGGCTTCCAGGCTCCAGAGGTAAACAGCCAACGGTCAACCACAAGCTGTCAGGCTGGGCCAGACGACTGTTTATTACCTTCTGGGGAGCTAAGCTGTGTTGTCGTTTGAAGGACACGTTGTCGCTTTTACCCGAGCCTCGCTCGGAAATGTGGGGTTTAGACATTAAACGCGTGATATAAAAAGACTGACACCGGGGTAGCAGTGTTGTGAGCTGCGGAATGCTCCGGGTAATGTTTAGCTAGCTAGCAAAACAAGCTAAGCTAGGCTAGCAGCGGAGTCTCTCCCAGGAAGCGGCTGACAGCCGCTGTTAGCATGCTAGCAGGAAAACTGCAGCCTGGCTTCGCAAACTTACCAGACACCAGATATTCCCCGCCGCTGTTGGAGAACTCGATGGCGTTGACGCAGCCAAAATGGCCCTCCAGATTCTTCTTGTAGAGGCTGGTGCAGCCTGCCAGCCTCCGTCTCTGGAATTCCTCCTTCAGGAGCGACTGTCCGGTCAGCTCTCTGCGGGACAGAAAGCCCAGCGAGCAGCGCATACCGCAGCCCTTCAGCTCCTTCATTTTGACCACGCTGGAAAGAAACAGGCCTTCTAACTCCACCGCTCCGCCCGACGCATCTGCTTATGTCAGTGGGTAGACGCGGCGCGCGGACTGCTCTCGCTGGCTTGGCTCGACATCCTGGTGGATGTGGGTTGCGTGTCCGCTGATGTCGACGTCGTTTCGTGCCTGCTCTGCCCGCTCGGTCTGGGAGCAGCGTCTTGCCTCCCCCGCCTCCCCTCCGCTGTCATCCGGCGGGCCGCGGAACCGGAGCGAGTAATGAAAATAAAATAAAAACACACACAAAATGGCATTAAATGGTGTCAGTTTCTGCTCCACTTTTGACACAAAATATTGAAAAAATAAATATTATTCATCAACGAACGTGAATGCACTGACGTCACTACACACCTTTCATTTATCTCATATTTTACCTCATATCTACCTTTGAATTTCGCAATGAAGATCTCTTATTAATTATTATCATCATTATTATTATTTTAAGACAAATAGAAAGAATTTTCTTCCCATTTTATACATGCAAATTAAAAGTATTTACGTAAGGTAGAGGTGGGCATTTATCATATCGTTTATCATTTATCGAGAAATATATCCTAAGATTTTTTATTATTATTATTTATCGTTGTCACGATAAACGTCAATTATTGCTGAGTCATGCAGTCACAGCCATACAATCACCCCAGGAAAGGTAATAAATAGTTCTAATCGTCACTTTTGTCGTTATCACATGATTACCATAAAATATCTTGCTAAAACTTAGTCTGCGATTGTCTTCCCATCATTCCTGAAGGAAAAAAAAAAAAATCGAGATACACAGAGGTTAAATTACTCACAGGTGGACTAATTACCAATTAGGTGATTTCTGAAGGGTCTAGGAGTAAATAAGTCTCATAACAAATATATTTAAAACTTTTTTTTTTAAGGATTTTGAACACTCTAACCTCTGTTGATCCGTCACATAAAATTCCAACAAAAGTCACTGATAATTTTGGCTGTAACACTCCACTGAGTTCCGTACAGTCAGGAGTCATATTTTGTCAGCTTCTGCTTTTCAAATTATGGCACGGCTGCTTATTTTATCACCTTTTGAAGAAAATAATTCCTTTAAAACCCCTGCGACCCTACATGGTTAGATAACGGCTGGACAGATGAGTCACATAAAATCCTCTGAGTATATAACAGTAGCTGGAACAAAGGAGACAAGAAGTGGATTTTAGTGTGTATAGTAGTTTTATTATTCCCAACTTTTGGGATTACAGTGGTAGTCTTTAAGCAACTTTCAGTCTTGAGAAGCTTTCTCTGAGACAACACTTAAAATAAAAATATATTTTACACAGATAAGAAGAAGAAGAAGAAGCAACAACCAAGGTTTTTCTCAACATTAGGGGTTCATTTCACTTGGAGCCAAGCGGCTAGAATGCGATTTAGCGTTGCACACGTGAACAGACGCAAGCAACTATTCGTATGTGTTGGAGTTTACTTAAGTTCTCCTGGGCCCAGACTCAGCACCATAGTCGGCAGGGATTATTACTTATATCGATTTGTCAAATTATGCAATTTAGGCACTTATTAAACAAATGATGAGGGTTGTGATCAAACGTCTAGTCAGTAACAATTTGTGGGAAAAAAGTGTGTTTGACGCACAGGTAGAGACGCTTCGGACATTCACTACGTACACAATCTGCTCTAAACTTAGAATATTTGAACTAAACTCTACAATACTCCATTTAGGCCCCACACTGAGCATATTAATGTGTTAATAGTACAGCGGCTTGGCCGGCTTTGCATATAAATGGCGACACCACTCGTTTGTGCTGCTGTTCAGCTTTGGTGGCTCGCAGCGGCCAGCCGGTTGCATACCTGCAGGTTCCCAGTGGGAGAGTGATTTTGCACTAATCTAAATTACACAAACGTTTAAAAGTGCTTTACAGTAAGGTAATCTTTTGATACATTCGCCGCAACGTTTGAAGTAGCAGAGCACGCAGGCTGAGAGCTGCGACGAGCAAACTCGCATCGGCCACAGAAAACCCCTAAAACAATCAAAGTCTTTGCTTTCAGCAAAAAGCTACGCAGTCCGAAGGAGTGCTGGTCTTAAAGGGATAGTTCAGATTTTTCGAAGTGAAATTTTGTGAACATATCCTCAGAGAGGATAATGGCTAGTCCAATAGGATCCCCTGTTTTAGCTGATTTTAATTATTTTAAACAACTCGAACTGAAAATGCAAAGGATACAACTCCACTGTTAAAACGAGAAACTTACTTGCATTAAGTTTACCACGCCTTAATATATCTTGGAAGAGCTAAAGTAATGAGGTCACCGCTTTTTAAGCTTCTGGTAGGTCACTTGGAGGTGTACTTGAAACACACCTCCGGGTCATTACTGAAATATTTGAAGGAATCAGCGAGGCCATTCGTGGAAAAATGCAGAGCGGAACGAGCAAAACAAATTGAGGTGAAAGGTCATTCAGTGAGGAAGAAGGGATATCCTAAAGATTAAATTAAAAGCCGGATTGCAGTTTCAAGAAACATGTTGTGTGCTGAGATTAAAACAAAAATGTTAATGTTTGACAATAATGAATATTACGTTTTAAAATGGAGAACCTACAACCAAGAGCATCAAGCAACAGTGACACTTGGATATAATGTCATGTATTTACGTGTACACTAGATGTTCATTGATCTGCATGGTTCCATTTAAAAACAAACAAAACAGAACTTGTTAGACCAAGATTAAACAAACTAACAGATTAATAAGGCTGGTAGTTTTTGCTGATGTAATTTTATAATTCCCTAATAAAGCGCTGTACTTTATAACATAGTTTGAGTTGCTTAAATGGACAAAGTCAGCCAAAACAGGGGCACATCTGGTTATCTAGCTAGCTAGGTAACATTTTATGTCCTCCAAATGCATTTTCTTTTCCACAAACAAACTGGAATATGACTGAAATTAACTTTATTACAAAAAATCTCAACTTTCCCTCGAAGGAGGATTAAACAGCTTAGAGGTAAAGATAGGTCATTCTACAACTAATTCCCATTTACAAGGAAAACTCAAAGGAATAGTCAGACATTTTTGAACATAAACCCATGTTCAGTTAGATGAGAATTTATGCCACAGTAAATTAGGATTCTTCCAATTTTACCAATTACATCAAAACGTCATATTTCTAGGTCATGTTCAATTGGAGCCCAACATGGTGGCAGGATGCTTACTTCTGGCCATAGTCGAGTTTTTGTAGCCAGTGGCTATTAGCTTAGTGTTACAGCTGTTAAGATACAATGCATAAGGTTAAACTGAAGAACTTTATAAAGCGAATTTTTAAAATTTGCCAGTTTGGAATTTCTTTAGAGCCTTTATGCTATGCTAAGCTAATTAGCTGCTAATAATATTGATTCCAGAGCCAGCCAAAAGTTGCATGGGAGCTTAGGAATTGTTTCTGTCTCATTCCATGTGAGTACTCGCAGCCCCCTGGTGGCTGGGAGGCTTCTAGCAGGCACTTAAAGCCTCTTAGCCAGATATTTGTTCGTTACCTTTTAAATCTTAATGAATTCTAATGTTTGTTCTGATTTATTTTTGCTCCTAACACTTGACATATTTTGAGTTAATTTTTAGAGGTAGAAATACAAAATACAGAAGTTTGTATGGAGTGAAAGAAAAAAAGCTCAATTCACTGATTTTACATCTACTCGAGCTAGTCTTTTTTTTTTTCTTCTTCTTTTTTAACTTCTCGGCTGAGAAAACCTGGGGAAAAAACCTGAATTGAAAGTAAGAGCGTTTCATTCCATGGCAGCTTCTCTTGTGTTTTTGTGTGTGTTTTATGCACTACATTAATTTTGCTGGTTTAATACGAACCTTAAAAAAACACACAAATATTAAATGAAACAGCAAAAAGAAAACATAAAATGAAATAAAACAGGTCCTACCTGATGACTCGCTCAACATGTTAAAGGTTAAAAGCCTTTTATGAAGACTACTTTCTCAAAGGTCTACAAAACATCAGCAGCTTTTTAAGCAGGGTAAAGTCATTTTGTCACCTGGCAGCTTTAGATAAATTAAAAAAACAACAACAAAAAACCCCCGGAATATTAAATAATCGGACAAATGCAACAGTGGAGAGCGGCAGTTTAACTTAAGACAGCAGAGTAAAATGACGGAGACGGGGGTTAAAATCTTGGCACAGGGGTCAACGGGGGCTGTCCTCCTTGTTTCAGTCTCTTTTCAAGGTGCTGCTAGTACGGGCCCTTATTGTGCCCAAAAATCCCGACGGGGAAGTGTTTGACATGTGAGGACCACTGAGCTGCTAACTGGAAAAACTTGACATCGTTCCACTCGACGCCATCGATCAGCACTGCGGGGGAGACACAAAACCAGCCATAAGTATGATAAACATATTTTGGGATGTATTTTAGTTAATTTTCTTCTTCAATTTGTTTTAGAGTGAAAAAACAATACAGTTTTATCTGCATAGTGTCCATAAAGAGTTCCTAAACAACACAGAAAGTGTCTTGTTAGAAAACAGTTTTGCGTCAGTAACATAGTTACACCTTAAAGTGCAATTGATTTGCTTAAAATGTCACTTCTATTTCTGTGCAGGTTATTTATTTAAACACTAAATAATCACAAACAGCGGCAGCTCTGTTTGTGATGGTTATTTAATGGCATGAGAACTGTTCTTAATGGTTTAAAACAAGAATTTCAACTGCGCTACTGGACACTGAAAAATGTAAACGACTGGGCGGCCGCAGCATTTTATTTTTGAAAATTTTATTTTCTTTTGGGATCGATACAACAAACAGAATCCTTATCGAATCTGTATCATAAAAGTCATAAAAAGAGATTTGAAAAAACAATAAATCCAAAAACAACAATTTCCGCATTTGGACCATCACTTGGTTTCTGTTTTGTAATCATTCTGGATTTGTGTTCAACGGCCGAATAAAATCATTTTATTGATAATTTTATTTATTTATTTGTCCTGGGCCACACTTTGGACCGGCCTGGACTTTGTTGTGCGATTGAACTAGCTCTTCCTTAAAAACAATTTAAAAAATAAAAGGTAAGGTACTTTTATTTATTTAGCACATTTTCAGCAACAAGGCGATTCAAAAGTGCTTCACATGAATTAAAAAGGAAATACAAACAAAATAACAAACCAAAGAAAACATAAAAAATATGGAAAATAATGTAATAATGTTAATCTAAAGCATATAAACTAGATACTCCTAATCTAGATAGATAAATATAAGTACGTATTTTCTGGACTTTCTTTGTTCTAAATTTGTAAAAGTAATGAGCATTCCACAATTTCTACATAATAATAAAAATAAAATCAAAGCAACAACAGATCGTCTCACCTCTCAGCATGGTCTGCTGGTGTTTGGCAGCGCAGATGAGGCGACCGATGCCTTCGATCACTTGACTCTTCGACTCCACCTCCTTGTCTTTGCTCTTCTTGGGCAGAAACATGACTGAGAAGGCAACGGCAGACACCCGCACTGTTAGTGACAGAGGCATTCAGAGTATCTGCTTTCTGCTAGGCTTAAAGCATAACATCTGAAGTAAAAGACCTGATTTTAAGCATCGTCTTATTAAAATAATGAAAGAGAATGAAATAAGAGCCACACCCTTCTTATTTTTCTCCTTGGTTACAACAGTCATAGACATGGTGGGCTGGGGGCTTGGCTCTGTGCCCCCCGGTGGAAGCCGGCTGACCTGCAGCGAGCGGAAATTGCACTTCAAAGTGTTTTTGGAGGAGGAGTCCCGCTTCTCCACGTCTTTCTTCCTCTCTGTCGGAGCCACCCAGTAATCTACCTGAAGGCCCATCAGCTCCGCCTGGCTGCTGGAACTGCTGAGAAACAGGCAGCTTCGTGTAAACCAGCCAAATCTCTTTTTCTATTTTTAGTTTACAAAAGCAGACACCGAAAGATTTCTCAATTAATTCTAAACCTGAGAGCACAGAAGCTGGTGTTGATGGAGGGAGAAGGCGGCGGTGTTGGCGAAGCCTCTTTAAAAGCGGGGGACACTTGAGGAGGGGTGGAGGAGAGCAGAGACGAGCTCAGAGGCGCTGCATCATCAGAGTCTCCTGAAAAGGAAAGCTGTTGTTAAAATAATGCTCAGTTGGACGGCTTCTTTAATTGGGGATTTTATTACTTTGGCACTTTCTTTTCCCCCCCCGCCATCTCGTTAAAATAGCTTTTAGTGGTTCTGAAAGCGTAACTTTTTACAACCTTAAAGGCGCAGTTTTCCTGGCACATGGTGACATTTTATAGCACAATCAAGTAACTGTGTCGCTTTCAATTGTTATAAAAATGCCATCTCAAGAACAACATAAAAGAAATTTTACTTCCTAATTTAACACCATGAAATTGGGCTTCTGTCTCTTAAAATTCACCTTCAGAAAGTCTTCACCACATGGCTCCTCTATTAACCCTTTAACAAAGTTTTTGCCAGCGTTGAGCTGAGACGTAGCTCATATAATGAGCACAGTAGATGCTCAGTTCCACCAGGTGCTTGCTAATTGCTGCTGGCTAGTCTGTGGGGGCTGAGAGACGGAGCGTTGCTGTGTGAAGCAGACGCTCAGAAACAGTGGCTCTGAGGAGCTTCGTCCTCGAAGGCGGAGCTAGTTCCACCCAGGCGTTTCGCCAGGGAGATTAAAGGATTTCCTCAAACATACATGAAAAAAACCAACGCAACACTCCAGGTATGTTTCTGATGAGGGAATAACATTATAACATGATGTAACTCTAGAAAAAGTCAATTCTCTATACTACCTCATTTAGTAGACCAGCATTTGGAAAAGCTTTCTGTGTTAATTAATTAAGTAAAAGTTGATCTGGGAACAGCCAAATCTGCTTCTGAGTGAAAGTCACTGTATGATTTGGGTGCATTATAAAGCCAGGGGCCAAACTTTGGACAGCACTGGCCTATATCATATATGTGGTTAAAATAGACGGAAAATGTCAAAGAAGAAAAAAGCTGAAAAATCGTTTCTCTTAGAGCTTGCTCATAAGGCCATGAACAAAGTTTAGATGAAGCTAGTAAACATGTGACATTTTTCATTTGTCCGTTTGTAGGTTTATTATGCAGCCTGTGCAAAAGATGCAGCTTTAAATAATGTCGTAAGAAGTACTTGCCTGATGTTGCAGATGTTTGCTCCACAATGCCAACTTTCACCATCTAAATAACAACGAAGGAACCGGGAGAAGAAAAGGCGGTACTCAGCTAACGGGTAACTTTACAAGGCGATGAATTCAACTTCCCAACAGACAAATCCAGACAGAGAGAGCCAGGCTTTCCTACTTACCCCAATAAATGGGATGAACTTCTGACAGGAATCCTCATTAGGGCTGGTGAAGAGAATTAATAATTAGTAGGAGGAAAAACATTCGGTCTGATGATGAAGAGAAAAATATGCAACTAAAACTTAATTTACTACAAAAGATTCCAATTAAGAGAGGCTACATCTACATCAGTCAGCATTAACGTCTAGCAATTGGTAACATGTGAATGCTGACTTTTATACTGATACCAAATGATTGATATCTGAAACTACTGTAATTCACATTGCAGAGATTGAGTGGAATGCAAAGCCCAGGTGCGCATGCTGCCATTTTTTTGTCCTGTACTATTGATTTAAGTCGAAAATGAAATAACAAAGCTAACTGTAGCAGGACGGGCAAAGAGCAAAAGAGCATGCAAGCCTCCGGCCAGTTTGTGGCATGAAGTAAAGCGACAGAATCACGGCCGAGACAGAATAGATTACCCTAAACCCGGTCAGGTAGGCATTCAGGAGGCAGCAAGTTCGTAAGGTGGGAATAAAGCATCGCAAGGAGGAAGAAGGAAGAGCACCAACCTAAATCCAAAACCCTGTCTGGGTCCATGCACTCACTGCCTGCTGGCAGGAGTGCATAACCACGCTACGGTAAGAGCTATTTTCCCGGCAACGCCCGGAAAAAATAGCAGGATGAAGCGCAGCTGAATTGTAGCTTTTGCGTTTTCTGCATGTGAAGTGGTTTGATGATGCGTAAGGTTGCTGCTCTTGCCTTGAGGAGACCTGCCATCGCCCCCCCAGGGAAGAAACAGAGAGACTACATAGGCAGCCGGGGGGGGAGAGAGAGAGAGAGAAGAGGGTCTAAAGACGGTGGCAGAGGGATTTCATCCAACACATTTCTACTGCAGTCAGCTTCAGAGCAGCCAGAGAAACACAAGCAAGATGGCTGCCTGATATAAGAGAGATAAAGTCCCGCCTCGCTTGCGTGGGCTCTTCATGATGGAGTGAACGACTTCTTGGATGTTCAATGGTTTAAAGTTACTCAGGCAGGTGGATTAAACTATTATTTGTCTGAAGTTTGAGCTTTCCTCTCATTTTGTATTGTTCAGAAAGGAATAAATGTGGGTACTTTTGTCTCTTAAATCAGTTTATTATTTACAAAACAATCACCTCAAAGAACATAGAGTGATTCTACAAATGTATTTATTTTGCAAAGGCTCTTTGAGCTGATATTCTGTGTTGAAATACATCTCTTAATCACCTTTAAAGGAAACTATCCTCAATTTTGGCGCAGAAGCTTTTCTTTAGTCTCAAATTTAAAAAAACAAAAAAGCTTTTCATAAAGGTATAACTTGAAGTCAACTGGTAACCAGAGCCAGACACGGATAAGCTTGACCTGTCCTAACCAGTGATTGCTATTATGCCACAACGACAGCCACACTATTCAGTATGGGCGTTGTTGCTAATTGAAGATTCAAATTGACCTACTTTTGTTGTTTCTGATTTGTTAAAAAATACAGAAAGTTAAACTGAATTTACTAGAACACGTCTCCAGGCAGTTAAAATGCAATCGTTCCCAGGTCAGCTTACGCTAACACGATGGGCGTTTTCAACAAAAAGTAAAATTACTTTAGCTTTAAGTCAAATTTAGCTAAAAAGTTAATGTTAGCTTAAATGGTATGGTTATCATGTGGGGTTCATGGCTAACTTTCACTCAGTCCATTCAAACAGTTTCTGGCTGTTTTAGCAATGCTAGCTATGCTAACGTCACGCCACCTCCGAGTCTCAGCAGAAATAACAAATGAATGCTCACAGCAGGGAGGCTAGAAAGGAAAAACAAAAAGGTCTGTTCCTATATTTAGGAACAGCTATTATAGTTATTATAGTTAAAATACCATCAAAAATAGGGGGAGAATAGAAAAACGGGACACTACTTTTAATCTGTGCAGCTTTTCAAAATGCTATATAGACTTTGGCCACTGAAACGTCACACCAAGCTAAAAAGCCAACACTATTTCAGGAGAATTATTACGCTGTCACCTTGTGTAGATAATTAGAAAAATACGACAGCATTGTTTTATAGCCAGAAAGATGATAGGAAAGCTACTGATTTGAGAACTTTGCTATCCAGGCTGCTTAGACGTGTCAAAATCGTAATAACGTGACTGAATGAAGCTTCAACACATAAAAACATTTGCTGACAATGTGCATGTTTCCCTACATTCAAATGGACAATTAACAGACAGACACAGATAGCCAGAAGGTCCACGCATCAAATATTTCTTTTCAGTGGAATTGAGCAGCACTGAGGAGGTATTTGACTTATTTCATACAGCTGAAAAACTCTTATCTAAGATATTTTCATTTGGAAGATGAACTGTATTTATCTGTCTCATTTATGAGAGATTGATTAGTTAATTAGTTGATCATAAATCCCCAGAGAAGATAAATACAGAAGAGTGCATATAATCAGAAAATTTGATTAACCTCTAAGTGACAAAAAAAATCTGATTTTCTAATGAAAATTTTTTTATGTATATATATATTTAGCTTTCTTATTGTTTCATCAATTAAAATGATGCATGGACCTTAGAAATAGAACCACAGTCATGAGTCTGTGTGGAAGAATGAAAGGGAACACAGTTTGGTCTCCTGCCACCTTATCAGCACAAACTTCCTTGTTGTTCAAAACTCCTGAATCTCATTTGCAGATTTGTGCATCCAGTACATTTGTACTGGTTCTGGTGCCTGAAACAGCATTTCACAACTATTTATGCAGTCGGCTATCAAGCAGAGATTAAACGGCCTAATGAAATTGTTACTTCATCGTTTTTTTATGAACAGATAAAAGGCTGGTATATAAAGAAACTCCATTGGTTGCAACAAAACCAAAGATACAGTTACTTTATCTCAGTTTAACATAAAAAGTAGGAACAATTTAAATAAGACTATCAGTTTCCCATAATGCTCTTTTAAAGCCAGCTACAGTTGAAACCAGATATTTGCATTCACTGTTTAAAAAAAAACATGTTCTTTTCTCCCTCTCATTGTTTGACATTCCCCAGATTACACTTTTAATCGTAATAATTTCACATATTAACATTTGAGCTGCAGGACTCGGGTCAAGCCTGTCGGGTTTCTCTTCACGAGTTTCTCTCAGTGATTTCTTGGCATTTTGGTTCCTTCCTCCTGACTGAACTAGAAGAGCAGAGTCAGGTTCTCCATCTCCTCCAAACAAATGTTTTTAGCTCTGCCAGCTCATTTTCTTGGACTTTGTTCGGGCCGCCAGCAAAACACTGGCTTCAGCGTTCTCAAGCCACTCTGTAAACAATAAAGTCATCGTCCATTTGGAAAACCTATTTGTGCTAAGTCTAACTTCCTGACTGATTTCTTGGGATGTTGCTCCGTATTTAAATAATTTTCCAACCACATTGTGCTATCTATTTTTTTAAGCGCACCAGTCCCTCCTGCAGCAAAATACCAACACCGTATCCTGCAGCCACTCCTGCATTTCATGCTTAGGATGGTGTTTTTAGGCTTTTAAGCATCCTTCCCCTTTCTTCTGAATATAGTGATGACCATTATGGCAAAACATTTCAATTTTAGTTTCAAACTTGTACCCAAAAATGTTGTTTTGTTTGTCCATGAGGGAATTTGTAAACCATAATCTGGTTCTCTTGCGTTGCTTTCAGAGTAATGGCTTCTTCCTCTCTGAGCGGCCTTTCAGTCCGGGTTAGTCCGGGACTCATTTCACTTTTTTCTAGTTTCTGAGAGCGTCTTTTTAAAGCGTCTCAACTTAGAACAGATTCACACAGGTAAACATCTGACACCGAAGGATGTGATAAAAGAATAATAATAATTTAACCAAAACTAAAGCAGGAAAAATTTGGTTTGATTTGATGTCAGAGAGAGAAAAAAAGAAGGTGTGCGATTTTATCTCAGTGTATTTACACTTAGAAAATGCTGCATCGTATTTCAAAAACCTGAAACACAATGCAGTTTCATGCATTTCCTCAGTAGCTGGCCATAAGAGAAGCCACTACAGCTCATTGTGTAACTTTTCTTGTCAGAGAAGAGACTTGAGGGAAACTCAGAAAGGTTTGATGATCCCAAATTATCTTGTTTCATAAAAAGATTAAGGGTTATGCTTTTAAACTCTCTTTCAGTGGAAGCTTTAACATCGTTTTTTCACTCATAAACCTGACACCCTGTATGCTGATTCTAATCCAACTCTGTTGTTTTCACCCAACTGTTTACAGTGTGATGATCTGCAAAAACCGCTGTCTAAACTTGGATGTACAAGCGTTTCAGTTTGAAGGGTTTTGTGAATTTACATCAGAATCGAATCTCAAGTTGTTGGGCACTTTTCAGGCAGCTGTGAAGGGGGCAAGCTCCAACAGAGGCAGACGTGGGTCAGAAGAAAATGACACTGGTGCACAGAAAGCACATGAATCACCAGTCTATGCAAGAAACAAACTCAATTGACCACAATACCTTACGGCAAAATCAAAATGAAAGCTCTTTTTCCTTTGAAAACAAACAAACAAAAAAAGAAAAACACACAGCAAAACAGATGTTATTCACACACACACATTGATGGATAAGACAGATGCTCACACAGAATACTGCTTACTTACAGTGTCTTTAGAAAGTATTCACACTCCTTCAAGTGTTTAGCATTTTTTTTATTTTTATGGTACTTTTCTCGAATGTTATGTGTTAGACCAGCACAACGGTGTAAAACGTCAATGGTAGCCCAAATATGGTTTTACAAATAAATTATATGATCATTTGTTAGAATGGTCCAGTCAAAGCTTGAACTATGGTGTAAAAAAAAAAATAAAAAAAAAAAACATCCCAAGAGAAGTTGGTAGAGATGAACCAGCATAAAACTTCCAGTAAGCACGAGAAAGTATTTGCTCAGGCCAGACTGGATACACTTGGCACACTTTTTAGGTTATTTAATAGATAAAAAACATCCTTTTATTTTACAATAATGCTCAGTGTTGGTCTATCACATAAAAGCTCCAAAAAGTATGAGATTTTGTAGCTATAAGTTGTAAAAATGGAAAACAGTTCAAGGTGTACCAATACTTTTGCAAAGGACTGTCTGTAAGCCCCATAACAGTTAAGAGACATTTACTTCATTTTGTTTCCAAAGGGCAGTTTGAATGATTTATATATATATATATTATATATATATATATATATATATATATATATATATATATATATATATATATATATATATATATATATATATATATATATATATATATATATATATATATATAAGACATTTTTTCTGTTTTAAATGAAGGGGGCAAGCTCCAACAGAGGCTTGCCCATATATATATATATATATACATACACACACATTTTGGTCAATTTAACTGTTAACAGTTTTATCTACCAGAAGGATTTTTCCATCTGGTATAAAAATTAAAAATACATGTTTTGACAGGTTAAGCGCTGCTCTTAATGCTTTTTCTCCACTGCATCCCCCTTTTTGAAAACAGAATGAGTTCCTCATTAGAACCATTTGTTAGAGTAAATACTTAAAACATTAGTAGGATCTTTAAAACCTTTTCTTAGCTCCCAAAGACACAAATCAGATTTCTGTGCAATTGCAGATAATACTCAGTGAAAGTAGACTCTGAAAGGAAACGAGGCTGAAGCAAAAGCAAAAACGAACCTTTTCTGCTTGTAAGTGAGCATGGCCTCGGCGATGGGGAGCTGGTGGGCTCCGTTCGCTCCCTCCATGTACTGCGTGACCCTTGACACCACGTCAGGGCTCTCCTGAACTGCACATGGACGGTGATTAGTATCTGAACGCCAGCCTCTGTCCCCGGCCCAAAGAAAGAACACGCACTGCAGAGTTATTCAAAGTCTGGGAATGTTTTCATGTCGTTTTGTGACCAAAACCGCAAACTTCCACTTATTTTATTTGGATCTTAACTGATGGACTGACAAAAAGGATCATTTGTTTTCCGTCTTCCTTAATACTTTGCAGAATTATGTTTTGCTACAACAAATTTGTAAAATTCACTTGAAAAAACAGAGAATGCAGCTCCAGCTTAAAAAAATTAAATAAAATTAGTAATTGCACAACAGTAACTCAATGAAGTTTGTCAAACTTACGTTACTTAGGTTAGTTTACCTTCACAACTAAAGAAACTTAAAAGCATTGACTTGGATAAACTTAATCTAATTCCGTGTGACCAGTTTATTTAAATTGGATACCTGAACTAAAAAGAAAGCACAAAATCTTACCAAATAATTTTGTCTAGTTTTTAGTGTAAATGCATTGAAATAAGATGTAACTAACTTACAAGTAATTTTTCAGCAAGAAATAAGAACTTGTTTAAGTAGTAGTTCCTTATTATTGATAAAACATTCTTGTTTCACTTACAGATTATTTTATTTATAACAAAATACTTTTTCATCAATTTCAAGAAATTATTCACTTAAAACAAACTCATATTTCTTGCTTGAAAGTTACTGAAAGTTCATTTTGAAGTGTATTCAGACTGTAAGTTGGATTTAGGTCTGGACTTTGACTAGGCCGTTCGAACACTTGAATATGCTTTGGTGACAAAACAAAGCATTGTAGTGTTAAACCCACAATTATTCAAAGCCATTTAGATTTTAAATTATTCATTCGACTAAGAGAATGAAACAGGCATTTCTCGCCAAAAAATTATTCTAATTATTTAACTTTTGAAGACAGTTGATTTTTTAAAAGTTGCGTCAGATCACAGAATATAAATCTACACGTTTCAGATTTTTATTTCTTGAAAACTTTATGTATTTTCCTAAGAACTTAACATTTATGACGTGCTTTCTGTTGGTCACGTAAGATCCCAGTAAAATACAGTGAAGTTTCTAATTGATTCATAACATTTGGGAAAAGTGGCGTGCCGTGGAATATTGGATGCATAATCCGATATGACTTTAAAAGCAAAAAATTACATTTGTGAGGAAAAATGACCAAAAACCAAGTGCGTGCAGTGCCGTTTGTGAGCAACACCCCACCGATTACGGGAGCCTCCGCCTTGTGAAACAGATCCCTCCAGGCGGCGTCTTGGAACAGACAGTTGTAGCGATGATCAATCGTGCCGAGGTACTTGGAGACGGGATGCGCACCTGAGGAGAGCGGAGGCTTTTAAAATAAATGCGCGAGGGCGGCCGCGCTCTGACCTCATCGCCGTCATCGACTCGGAGCCGATGTCTGACCTAAGGGGACGATGAGGAACCTCATGTAGCCGAGCCAGTCCGGGGTCTTGTGGGAGAGGTGGTCCACAAAGAGCCTCAGAACCGCGCTGAGGTAGTGCTGCGCTCCAGCCACTGCGATCTTTATGGGAATGGGCGTCTGGGAGTTGCAGTTGCAGCTAGCGGAGCAGGACAAATATCGCGGGTTTGATTTTGCAAAGCCACATATGTTTGGGGGATTTTCTTCTGTCCTAACGGGGACAAACGAGGGTCAGACTTACAATCTTTGGATGCGAGAGACGATGGTGTTGAAAGCAGCTTGGATGTCGGCCGTGGTGCATGTGCAGACCACAGGCAGATGGTGGTTCTGCAGCGAATCCGACAGATACTGACAGACAGGAGAGGAGGAACAAGAGAAGTAAATTCACGAGTAAGCATACGGAACAAAACAGTGTTTCGTCGTCATAAATGTGTAACAACACAACAATATTTTAAACGCACACAGTGAGTAATGTGCAGCTTAAAACTAGCGATGCATTGATCTACGTTTCTCACATGTCTGAGGTTCAGTATCAGTCGAGATGGAAGAGTAGCGCTGAATTGACTTGAAATGTTTCTTTTTTAAAAACACAGAAATAAATGCACTGAATTATGAACGTATTTGAAAAACGCTGTGCCAGTGCAGCTCACTCAGCTTGGTCAAACATGTGAAAACAACTCAACTTTTATTTACGATTCAGAGTGAAATAAATAACAAAGAAACCGAAACTGACAAACAAAAGGTTAACTACTTTGGCCAAAAATGTAAAAAAAAAAAAAAATGCAACAGACCTTCTTTCAAATGGTTCAGAAAGTAAAATGAATAATAAATCATGACGTCGCTCAGAGCACAAAGCATAGAATTAGACTGAATAGATCTGCCCTTACGGATCGGGCGCATCGTCACAATATCACATCTGGAATTCTTTTCAATATTGGGACCAACAAAGATATTAATATTCTCTTGGTACATATCTACTTTGAAATCCGGATCGATAGTTTCAAGTTGTCGGTTCGATTTTTAACAAGTAGCTCGTCTCTGATTGGATTATGTTCAGGAGTTTGACCTTTCCGTCTCGTTCATCTTCTTGACCTTACCTGACCTTGCCAGTCTGACGTGTTGATGAGGATGATGCTGTCAGGAAGGTGGTTATCAGACACCAGGATGTGGTTCAGTTGGTCATAAACAGTTTTTCTAGGGATCTGGACAAACACAAAACATCAAAAATAAGGTCAAAACTCAGGATGCATCTTCTGTTTATTTAATCTCAATATTATTACTTTTATTGTTATTATAGTGACTTAATGCAATAAAAATAAATAAATAAACATGAGGGACCTGAAGATAATATCTTTGGCTTCTTCTCCAGCTGCAGCTGCGTTCCCCTACCTGTAGGTGGCACCGTGTATCCAGGGACCGCTCGTTGTCCAGGCTGTTGGCCCTCTCGTTCTGGGGCCTGCTGGGCTGGCGCTCCTTCAGGGACGTGCTCCGACCTCTCCGCCCTGCCAGCTTCGCTTCCTGCCTGAAAAAGGACAACAAGACATAAAGACTAACCAGCAGGGGGCAGTAATTCACCAGCTTTTCCACTTCATTTACCATAGAGACACTTTCTGAGCAGTGGCTCATTTTAGGGTTGTGGACACCTCCTTGAAATATTCTCAAACACACTTTAATGTTTTTTTTTTAGGTTTTTAAAGTTTTTTTGTTTTGTTTTTTATAAAAACTGCTAGTATACTCAATATGATGTGGCTAAAATCTGAGTTTAATTAAATAGTCATATAAATTAATAATTTTTTAGTTAAAATGTGATCTTAAATCTGTCAGTTTCCATTTTATGCATAGTCTAATAAACTCTGAGATTGGTGTACAATGTAACAGGAATTATTTGGGAGGTGAAACAAGCATGAAACTTTGAACAAATGCACCCAAAGAATGTAGAAAAAAATTATAATTACCTCAGCAACATTTCCTAGGAAATCATTTCATGATAGTGATTTGCTGTTTACAGTTATATTTTGCAGTAGATGTTTTTATTTCCACTATTTCACAAGTGGAAAAGTAACTTTGCTGTTTTTGTTGCTGTTTGAGAAATTTTGTACGTTTGCTCACCGGGCCTAAGCCCCCCGCTCATTAAAATCTAGTGACGCCCCTGCTTCCCAGCATTTCTTCTATAAAACGCACTCTCTGGGCTCTGTTAGGACGGTGCTTAAGGAAGTAATACCTGTTGGATGAAATGATGAGCGATTCCGTCTTGGTCATTTTGCCAGTAGGTGGCAGTCTCTCTAGAAACGTGTCCATGTTGTCCATTTCCAGCTCCGTGGTGGGAGTCACTGCCTCGGGCTGCTCCTGGAGGCAAACGGAAAAAAATAATAAAACCGACCAGATGTTTAGGTTGTGAGCCGAAGGTGAAGGCACCTCTGTGAGTGAGTACTCACAAAGGTGGCGTTGTCACGGCCGCCATCGTCGGCGAACGTCGAGTCGCCGCACTTGGTTTTGTCCAGATCAAGCTGAAGTGAGGCGGGAGGAAGACAAGACTTGATAGTGACTGAGTCTGATGAATGTTTATTTCACAGGCAGAAAGTCAGAATTGAACCACTGTTGAACATCCAACAGTGGTTTATCTGGGAGATTGACGGGTGGAAAAGAAAGCAACAAATTGCAGGTTTTAAATTCTGAGCTCAATTTGGAGGAAATCTTTCCCAACTCTTCTCAAATTTCAGCCGCGCTTGAAGATTTTCAATCATGAACCACATGCAAGGCTTTACCACTGCAGCTCAATGAGATTTCAATCTGGACTTTAACTAGGACACTCATAAACATTCAAGTAAAGCCCAGCTACTGCCTGACCTTTAGAACCGAAAAATTACTCTAACAGAACCTGTTTGACAACAGGAAGTAAAATGAAACACCATGTAGAACACCACTAAAAAAACAACAACAAACAAAACAAACAAAAACCTTTTGTCAGATTAAAAGTTCCCTTTGAAAATTGACAACATACTTTTCACTAACCCCACATTTCTCTATTTAAATTGTTCTATTTATTGGTAATATTGTAATTTTAAATGTCATGTTTTCATTCAACTGTAATCATCATAATTAACTAAAAAGGCTTTCAAAAATCTATCTGTGTGGGATTAATCTGTTTCACTAACTGATAAAGTTCCTGAAATAAATTGACTTTTCAATAACACTCTAATCTATTGAACACTCTAATTTATTGAACTCTCCAAGTTATTGAATGCTCGTGTAAGTAAAACAGTGGAATGACATTTTAAATTAGGTGTTTAATAGGTGGAAAGTGGGTAACTAACCGGGCTCGGCGGCTCTCTGTGGCTCCGGCTGCTGTGGATGCTGCCGATCTCGGTCTGGGAGCTGGAGAGGGACAGTCCCTCGAAATATGGCCTGAATCGAGGATGAAATCAAACACGTTGCATTCCATACGTTTCATCTCTTCACAGGTGATTCACAGGGTCGGCACAAACACGTCTCGGCTAAAAGATCCCTGCAGGTTTCGTTTATTTTCCACATGCCCATCTGAGCGTTAAGGAGCCTGTTTGCGCTCGAGGAAAGTTCGAAATAAGTTTTCGACATGCTGAAGACATAAAGCATCTAGGAGGCACTGAGGGAAACAAGCGCTGCTGAATTTTCTGACGTCTCACTCCCAGGTGTCCTGAGCAGTTTGGAAAAGTTTGGAGCTCTTATGTGGATATTCATGCTTTATTTTACAATAAAGTGTGAATTTCCTTTGCTTTACTCTTTATCTCATTGTGTGCAGGTTGTCGTTTCTTCTTTGGGTTCTTCCTCCTGTGCTTCCTTCATTGTTTGCTTGTTTACTTCAACAAATTATTCTGTTGATTCTTGTTTTCCCTGTACTCCCTGTCCTTCAACCTTTCGTTGTCTCCTTGCTTCCTGTTTTACTTGTCTGTGTTTTTCCTTCCTTTCGTCACTCATTCCTTCCATCCTTCTTTCTCCTAGACTTCCTTGTGTCATCCTTTGATTATTTTTTCACATTTATCGTTTACTTTGTGGTCTCCTTGCTTCTTTCCAGTCTTGTGTTCTGCTTTCTTTCTTTCCTTCCTATTATCTTCCTTCCTTGCTTTCTTAAACAATTTCTTCCCTGTCTGTCCTTTATTACTTCATTGTCTCCTTTTTTACCTGACTCTGTCTTTTTTCTTCCTTCCTTTCTTATACACTTCCTTGTGTCTTCCTTTGATTATTTTTTCTATTCTTTTCTTTCTTGTATCCTTCTTGATTTCCTTCTTTCCTTTCTTTGACTATTTATTTTTATGTTTAACAGTTATTAAATTGTCTTGTTGCTTCCCTTTTACTTGAGTTTATCTATTTCCTTTCTTTTTTCTTCATTTTCTTCCTTTCTTCCTTCCTTCTGTTCAAAGTGTCTTAATACTTCACTGAGGTGCTTTTGTCTCTCAAAACAAAAGTATCCATGGACTTAAAATACTGAATCTCATCTTAGACAGGCAAACACGCATAATGTTCACACACATTTACTTTTTCCAACTCCTCTTGGCTTATACTAAGCATGCAGAACCGTTTTATAATTCATAAAATGTCAACAGATAGGAGACATTAGATCGGCCCACAGCTCACTTTAGTTTGGGTTTTGGCGTGCTGAGGACGCTGTCATCATCGTCCAGCTCCGGGCAGCTGTCGCTGGGGTTCTCAAACTCCACACTGTCCAGGTCCAGATCCTCCTCCTCCACCTCAGGCGGCGGCTCCGCCGGGTCCTGCTCCGAGTCCAGCACCTTTGCAAGCACACACACGTCAAACACCGGTGAGTCACAAGAGAAGCAGAGACTCTCTGGAAATCACAAGAAAAAACAACAAAACAAGAAAACGTACCTCATCAGAAACTCTGAAGCGCTTGAGCAGCGCCACCACTCGTTGCTTAAAGTTCTGCTGCTAAAACGCAGGAAGAGAAACCCACAGAGTCAGAGTGAGACACGCTTCTGGTTCAGAACAGTGCGTGAAGCTAACAAGGAGAAACACGGCGGTGGCAGCATCATGCTGTAGGGACGGATTTCTTTGGAAGAGAAAATGAATCTAATCAGCATTAATTAGCTTCCTAATCAACGTCTCCATGGAAACATACACATTTTCTATCATTATATAGCGACACCAAAGAGTATGGGTGTCCAAACGTTTTGTCGGTCAGAATCGACAGCTCAAAAGTATCTGTGGACCAAAAAACTTCACTTTTACAAACTAAAATCAAAAAAGTTTTCTTTCATTTTTTAAAATACCTATTAGGCAGTAAATTAAGCAAGAACTATTTAAGCTGCAAACAAATAATCAAATTCTTTTTTTTTTTGAAGGAATGGGATCTTAGATGAAAAACTCCAAATGTTTTTTCCTCGCTAAGCGAAAGGCATCCAGTTGGCTTGTTTATTTGGGGTTCAGCTAGAGAAATCCGCAAAAACTATTTTATATATTTTCAGCAATAAAACCAGGATGAACACTCTGTATTTAAATCAGGCTTAATACAGCAAGTAAAGGCAGATTTGGGCCAACAAAGATTTATTTTAACGTGTAAGTGAAGGAAAAAAGTAACAAAATAATAAACCTTCGTGTGTGCACTTCTGGTGTTCTGTCTGAGCATTACACAGAAAACACACAGCCGTGAGTTTATTGTCACGTTTCTCTCAGCTCTCCGTCTCGTTTCGCATCTCTTACCCTGGTGATGGACGGGGTCCTGACAATGGACCTCCTCTGCTTCTTTAGTTTCCTCACGTCAAACTCATCATCCTCAAGATCCTGAACGGTGAAGGAGGAAGAGACAGACTTTCTTCTTCTTTTTCCCTCATTATCTATAAACCAATTCACCTCACGACCTTTCAAAGGTCAAACTGATCTGCGACTGTACTCACCTGTCCCTGCACCGCATCGTCGCTGGCCTCCTGCTCCGACGAGAAGCTCTCATACTCTTCTTCCGAGTAGTTATCTACAGGACACAATCGGCAGGAAGGTTAAAGCTTTACGCGTTCTGCATAGTTTTATGCGTTCTAGAGAAACAAATTCTTGATTTATTTGCCATATCAAACATCGGGTGATTAGTTTTGCGCTCGTTTAAAATCGGTGGGGAAATGAAAAGCAAAAGCCTACCGGTGCATTTGATCTTCTGTCCTCCCTGCAGGGCGGCGTCCTCGTGGTCTATCGGCTGACTGGACAGGGAGAAGATCCAGATCTTGGCCACTTTGCCCAGCATGTCTTTCTGGCTGCTGCAGAGAGACAGAACCTGACCTCCCTCCGTCGGGTGCTGCATCACCTGGGAGATGCGGGGAAAAACGAAATTCAATGCAGGAGGAGGACAGTCAAAAGGATTTCAAATGAACAAACACAACAACCTGAAACTGCAATAAATGCAACACTTGACTAAACTTGTAAATAACCACACTGGTCAAAAGTTCAGTAAAAGTCAAACTGAAAGTTTTGATGAATCCTTGAAACGCCACAAATCAGTTATTTTACAAGTGTATGATGAGAATAACAAGGGTAATTATTGATTTTAGATGTGGTGTAAAAGTAAACCCCTTTAATTTGCATCCGTTTTGTCACAAAACAGTCATGAACTTCACTTTATCTATTTGACGTTTAGGTCAACGCAAAGCACCATATAACTGTGAAGTGGAGGAAAAATGACACAAGGTTTTTACAACTCCAACTACCTCCAGTCTTGTAAGGTACGGAGAAGACCGCTACTGCGTGTTGGTCTGTCAGATGCAACCTCAATAAGACACAGCGAAGTGTGTGTTTGTAAAAAAAAACAAGCACAACGCTCGGTCCGGCCTCTTCATTGTGGCCAGTGCACTTCATGAAGGCTGCAGAGGATGTTAGAGGACACTACATCACGATACAGCTGTGAATAGGAGGGGATGGCAACGGGATCGGATCTTTATGAGGACTCTTTGTACCAACGGCTCAGATCCAATAGAGTTTATGAAAGGCGAGCAGCATTGGGATTTCTACAGAGAAACATGGACTCCTCTCTCCTCTCATTCCTTGGAATAAAGACTTTGAGACTGAATTAGAGCTGTGACGTTTAGCTACCGGCTTTCCTGTCGACTCATCTATCAATCGGCTAAAACATTAGCGCAGTCTTTTTAACCACTTGAGTTCATTTTATGCAAGATTACAGACACATTAAAACAATACATATAAACAAACAATTGAATCTCCCTTTTGTTAAAATAAGAAAATGAACATTTTGTTTGCTAAAATACCAAAACATACTGAACCCTCAATCTCTGGTGACCTCTGTTAACTTTTTTTTTTTATGTCTTAAATATATGAAGATGTATATAAAAAAAAATGTTGCAGCACAAACCACATGCAACACAGTTGATTTACACCATTTTTTTTTAAGACCACTGGAAACATTTATTAGTGTTTTTAAAACAACAGTGACATAAGCAGGCATTTTTCCTGCACCAATGTTTAACACAGATTTTATTTCATAACAAGAAGGTGAAGGGGGGGATAACATCACTCAGGTCCCTGAATCTTTTATTAAAGGCCATAATTGTAAAGTTATATCTTTATATCTTTTTTTCTCAACTCCCTGCATAATTCCCACTAAGTTGTTAGATGCCATGTTTGTCTGTTTTTATGTCCAATAAGTGAATTGTAGATTACATAACTTCTGACTGAAGTGTTAATATTGTGATTCAGAGAATTAATATATTCATAAATATATTCACAATTAAAGATCCGCCATTATTGATTTTGGAGAAATAAACAAGAAGCAGAACTGTTCAGCTTTGTGTTTCCTGTCATCCGATATGGAAACGTCAAATGATTATTTTTTCTATTTTGTTTATTCGTAGGTAAGGCGCTTCATTCTTTCCTCTGTTGTGGTTCGGCCTAAATGTGTTGCTCTGTGACTAGAAGCACACCTGGGTCATTGTTTTCTGCTACACTGCAGCCAAGCGGCTGCAGGGTGACCTGCAGATTCAACAGCGCCACAGCGGCAGGATATCACATTTTGTGTTTCATTTCTTCCTCTCTAAAATCCGGACAAGCCTCTATGTCCCCACTGCAACCTGGGGAGAAAAAAAAAAACACAACTTTGCCTGTTCAGCTGAAAATTCAAAACTTTCTCTGTTTTATGGTTTGGTAAAACCACATCCTGTGGGGTTTTTTTTAAACCTCAGTTTGGCTCAGTGGTGTCTTTTTCTTTTCTTCTCTCAGCTGCTGAGCCTTAACAAGCCCCGCTGAGCTTTGGCAGCCATATGGGATCTCCTTTGTGTGTGAGGATCATGTGCGCTGAAACTGAGCGCTTTATTTGTGTAATCCATGCTTTTTTCAAGCAGAGGAAACAGTTCTCTGTGTGTATTTTGTGGTGGGATGTGATTCGTTTATTGAGTCTCATTGTTCATTTCAGAGCCAACTTTGATTTGTTTCCTGAAATCAGTAGCAATTTGTGATGTGGGCAGAAACCCAGGGCGGCATCTCATCTAGGGCAGCAATGATGCCTGTAATAGAATCCTTGAGCACCAATTGCCCTAAATGTTTTTTTTAAATATTATGTACAAGAAATACTTACAAGATAAAGATATTTTACATATTCACTCCTTTAACCCACTTTACATTGTTTATAAGTATAATCTATGTAAAAAAAATTATGTAATAGTCATTGTAAAACAATTTCCACATTGCAATACAAACTGCATCCGTTATTAGGATTTTACAGCACAGCCCAGCACAAACACCTAATCAGGGGAAGATTTTGATGGGGAAAAAAGTTGAAAACGCTTCTAAACCTGGGATGTTTACTAGCACAGTAAAAGAAGTCAAGAAGAGAAGACACATCAATGCACTCTGACCATGTGACACCCTGGAAAGGCCAGCGAAGGCTTCGGGATAATTTAGGCCTGTGAGACACAAAAGAGTATTCTTCAGATGTATTTGGGCAGGTTTGTCTTGCACTGTGTGACTCTAAACTGCCACAAGTCATTAAAGAGGAAGAAGCAGCGTGGCAGCTGGAGCTTCTCATTACGTTTCCCTGATCTTTCTGACACAAACAGCCCGTTAAAGCCGAAACACCTTTCTGCTTCCTCCTGACCAGAGACTGCCAGACAACACAAAGGGCAGCACAGGCTTATTACTGCCTCCCATTCACACACATGCACACTGATGTGGTTTGCACAACTTAAAATCTGCAGAGAACAAAATGTAGATGAAGGAGCTTTACAAGAAGCGGTCGCACTGTACCTCTGCCATGTCAATAGATCCCATGGCCAAAGTCTTGTAGCCTAAAATCGTTCGGTTCTTGTACCTTTTCCGTCTTTGGAGCATTATCTGGAGCTTGTTGCCTTCTCTTTTCAAGAAGTGTGGGTACTGAAAGACAACCAAAACAAGAACAAAAATTAGACAAGCACAACAATATCTGGTAAAAAGAGACGTTTAGATCAACAGGTGGTTTTCTTTTGGTTAAAAAAAACAAAAACAAAACATGAATCATTGTAATTTTACTGCTCAAATACTGAAATATTACCACATTTAAGTCAGTCTTAGCTTTAATAACAGGAGTGAATACTTGATGCAATATATGGCATGAATACTTAAATAGTGAATTTATTACACATTAATGCAAAACCAAACTCAGATAATGCAATGATGAAGAAAAACAAAGTTGGATATAGGAGAAAGCATAAGGTGAAAAAAATTGAAGTCTGGGAGCATAGCTGTGCAGGAAGGAGGATGTTGTATATTTCACTAATCCAGAGATGATAAGGAGCCAGACGTAATATTCTGATGAAATGTAGTAAATCAGAAAAGGATGAACAAATTATAGATAATAGCCATGATGATTTACTAGAGTGTCAGAGCTCAGAAAAATAGCTCTCAGAAAAAGCCCTCTGTTTTTCTTCTTCTTCTTCTTCTGAAGCATCATGAGATATTTATTTCCTTCTATTAAAGGTCAGCAAATATAGTCTACTTTTGAACAAGATATTGACTAAATCTCTATACAGTAACAATTACAACTCAAAATAGTAACTTATATCACATTATAATATGCTAAGTAATAAGTCATAAACAAATCCTCGATAGAGATGCTGCAGTGGCTGTTAAGGTTAAAGAAAGTTGCAGACTTCATTCCAACTCCAAACTTATAATCCAATATGGCTGCTTGTGAAAAGAAGATTAACTACTTAGTTGCTCTGCTGTTGGTCTCCATCTCTGAAAATCAGTAGAACACAAGATCGATTTATGAGGACAATCATAAATTAGACTGTAGTAGTTTTTGAACGTGCAATGCATGTTCAAAAACATGCATTGCTCTGTGAAAATCAAACACAACAAACTCTCTTGGGGGCCCCCTGCTGGTCTAGAGGCTCGCTGATGCTTCAGAAAAAGTCACTTTAGGAGCATATCATGTAAAACTGATGCAACCTCCGTAACGTTTAGTGAATCTAAAGCAGAAAACTATTCAAATTAAAGCACGAGCTCCGGCTGCGTAGAAATAACATCTCAGTATGTGTCACCGCACTCTTCGTTTGTCACATGTAGAGCCAAGACTGAATAGAAATAGAAACACATTACCTGTAACAAACATCATCATGGGGATGGTGTTTGTTCTGCTTTACCTGCAGGGAGAAGGTGAGAGCCAGGTCAGTCTCCACTGACCCACTAGGTGGCAGCACAATCTCATGGGACCTCAAAATGCGTTTGGAGCCCTGTGGAAGAAAGTTATATAAATGTTCACAACATTCTAGGAGGTGCAAGAATCATGAGATGCTCACAGGGGATTTTTATTGGACAATTTATTGGTTCTTTCCAACATGTACACCAAATCATAGAAATACATACTTGAATCTTGACTGCGATGACCACAGAAATCAGCTCTTTATCAAGCTCCTTCATCACCACCAGCTTCTTAAGAGTCAGGCTGCACAGTCTGCAGAGAGACAGATAAAAGGAGAGGTGGAGGTGGAGGTTCAGACAGCTCTTCTGAGGGGTTTCAATATGCACAAACAGGTGAGTCATGCACAACAAGTCAATCTGTTTATCAACAGCGAGATGAACGGTTTACGGAGGCGAACGCTGCGGATCCGCCGCCGTCCTCCAAGGAATAAATAGATTGAGCACATCGGCATTGCTTTGACATGTAAACAGATTAATCGCACACTCTACTAAACACATACTTACTCTACACTGAGGCAGCATCACTTTGTTGCTGCAACTATAGAAAATGAAACGATTTCCTGATATCTGGAATCAAAAAACAAATCGATGACCTGCCAAGATCTGCATTTCCTGGTACGGTTAAAATCTCACTCCTGTCAGTGAGCAACTAGTAAAGAGTATCCAACTCCTTATAATGCTGTACATTATCCCATTTTTCAGTCTGGTTTTCCCGAGACTGTTTATTGACTTCTCTTGCTTTGTTAAAGTCAGACCCTAACAAAACAGGAATTATCGTTATTGAACAACCAAAAAGATACATTTGGTTGGCTTAAAGAAATTTAATATTTTCATCAGAGGAGTATACAAACCCTGAAGGCATTTCCTCCAGCTTCCTTTATGTGGCCAAAGGCGTCCCGCAAGGATTAGTTCTGGGATCACTCTTGTTTATTCTGCTCATCAAAAATCTTTACTGAGAATGATCAAAAACTTACTTCCATTTGATTTCGTTCTAATGATACTATTGGATACTATTAAATTGGATGCTAAAACAAAAATAAGTGTTTGTTCTTCCATCTGCTGACTGATTTTGTGTCTGAATGCAGACATCTAGGAATCCTGACGGATGTTTTGCTCTTTTTGAACTCAAACGATTGGTTAAAAATATAGAACATTTGCTCTTTAAAATCAAGTCCTTCTTGTGGGGATAAATAATGAAATGTTTCGTATGCTTCTTTTATATTTCACATAATTACAGAGATCTAATTTTCTTATCAATTCGTCCTGCGTAGTTAAATACTCTCAATACATCAAGATTCAACCAAAACCTTTATTCATATTTGTCATCATTTTTCAAACCAGTCGCATATCTTCACTTAGAAATCTATTCTTGCTCTATACCTCCTCCAAAAAAGTAAAGGAGGCCACGATGTTTGAAGAGATGAAACAAGAAAAATACAAAGATTTAACTGAATTCAAATCCGTCTGAACTTGAAGGAACTGAGACATCGTAAAAATAAACTTGAATTGATGCAATTTTTCTTTTTATTATTTAGTCTTTTTTGACAGTTGCAAGTGCCTTCATATCCCCTCGAGGTGTTATTTATATTTTATTACTTATTCTGTAATGCTTTTTTTTTTAGCACCATGTTGCATTTTCATGCTTATCCAGGCTGCCATCATTCAAATCCTTAAAATGTCAGAGTTAAATAACATGAGTAAAAGACTGAAAAAAAAAATAAATAAAAACTGTGGCTGCAAGAGAAAAAAAAAAAAGACCTGATAATCCCTTAAAAGAAGCAATTTCTTTCCAAAAGCACAAGATCCACATACTTGTTCATTCTTCTCCACCTCCTCACATGTATACCTTGTGGAGGTTTTTATTTTGTTTTTTGTTAGTATGCAAGCTGAATGCTCCAACACAGACAGAGTGGGTTGCAGCTTACACAGAGTACAGTAAATAAGAAAAAATCCTGAAGGCACTGCATAACATTTTCTAACGCAGTGGCTGAGAACTGACTATAAACAAAGCTGGCATTTGGGATTATGTCAATTGTGCTTCAAAAATGAACTGTTTCACCCATGTATGCATCCTAGGTCACAATTGTAAAGTAAAAACAAAAATGCAGGTATTGAAGGACTCAAACATGCTTCAAAAACCATTTCATCCAACTTCCTGCTGCACAAACTCAAAATGGTTTCAGTAAATAAAATGTGCTCCTCACTGGGATTAATAAAGCTCAACTAAATATCAGTCATTGTCATCTGCCTTTCAAAGTCACCTATTCATTCCGGGGCTGACATGATTAATCAGATTAATCACGATGAGTCGATTATTGAAATAATAGTCTTCTATTTTAGTCATCCATTAATTGTTTGCTAGAGCAAATAGACACAAAAATGGCCATTTGCTGAAATAACAGGACAGTCACAGGAGCAAAACAGCCAAAACTGTACAAAAATATTTACGTTTCACATTAAAGAAAAACAAAGACCTGTCTGTGAAAACACGTTAACGATAACTCCTCAGTTGTAGCTTCACCCAATTTAAATTCTGTAAAAATAAACAAGTACATGAAATGATCACCTATTAAACACCGTTTGCTATTCAGTTATTAACCAGTTCATGAAAAAAAAAACATTAATCAATAGATCAGTGCTACACTGTATCGACGCTAAATCAATCAGAGAGGAAAGAGTTTTTCACATGTTGATGTTAGACGTTATTTGTTTTGCTGCAGGTGAATCCTTTGCGTTCGCTAAAAGAATGCAGCTATTTTATTTTAGGTTAAAGAAAAAAAAAAGAACACATTTTTAATTGAAAAAGAAATGCATTTATTTGTTTAATGGCACATTTCAATGTCTGCCTAATATTGCATAAAAATGCTAGAAGTGTAGCCAAAATAAAAAATCCGCAGAATGTGGCAATTTTTTAAAAATCAATCAATTGTATGAACAATCGATGACTAAAGTAATCATTGATGCCGCCCTAATTTATTAAATAAACTAAATGTATTTTCAGTATAAGTCTTGCTGTTCTGTGAAGGCCTCAGAGAGCATTAGCAAACGCCTCAGTAGAGCACGGCCTAGTCAAATCCCAAAACAAAATCTGACAGGGAATCTGTGAGCATGGTTGATCCTGGACGGATGCCCCCTATCCGATCAGTTTGAGCTTAAACTGTTTTGCAATAAACAACACACACACAAAAATAAATAAATGTGCTATACAAATAACATTTGATTGATCGGTTGATACTTTGTTCATCATTCACCTGATCAGGTTTGAAGTCTTAATGTTCAAAACCCAAGGAGAAAATCCAGACGTATGAACACTTTAGCAAGGCAAAGAGTGAAGGAAAGCAGGACATTGGGGTGTTGGCAAACTGATGGAGCTGTTGTTAGGTTAGTGTGCATGTGCGTGTGCGTGTGTGTGTGTGTGTGCGTGTGTGTGTGTGTGTGTGTGTGTGTGTGTGTGTGTGTGTGTGTGTGTGTGTGTGTGTGTGCGTGTGTGTGTGTGTAAGAGGTGCTTTAACAAGCCTGTCACAATCTTGGAGACTCCTCCTCCCATGAGGGGGGGGTAGAAATTTCCTTTAGAGAAGCTTTCTGTGGTTCTTTGACTAAATCATCCAGACCAGCAGCTCAGAAAAGGTCCGTTTGTCACGTGGCTCGCTTCCTTTTCTCTGCAAAATGAAACCATTAACAGAGTGGTTGCTCGGAATGACATCATGGCTAAATCACCTGGGACACAAAAAAACTCGGCATTGGACGTCGTCGAGAGGTGGGCTGACACTCCCACTGTTGGCAGAAAAGAAAGAAACGAAACAGCAATGAACCACACATTCACCACGATTAGGACTTGACCACATGTAATCTAACTCCTCTGCAGATCTCCTATTTTGAGAACAGGAAATAGAAAGGTGAGGCGGCGAACAAAAGCAAGCAGCGGCAGTATCGGCGAACGCCTTTCGGAGACTCGCTTTGCTGAGTGGCGTAATTACAACGCCGCAGCTCTGCAGCCGAGTGGGTATCAATCAGCCTCGACGTGAGGGGGGAAAAAAAGTAAAACACACAGCGGGAGAAGAAGAAGTGATGACAATGGCAGGTTTGAAGGAACCCCCAGCAGTCTGAATGAAGACCTTTCTCCACTCCGGCTGACACCACCCGACAAAAGGCCGGGGCACAATGGACGCCGGCCAAAAGAACGCTTGCATTGTCCTGAGAGCTTCTCACGTCCAGACAATGCTCGGCATTCTTCCTGCTCCTGTTTGGTATTCTTCCTAGTTTCCACTGATCCCAGTCCCACTGCTCCATCTATCTCAGATATGCAAGGTGGCTGGATGTTGGTCTGCGGGGGCAGAGGGAGGCAACGGCTGCAGATGTCCTGGGATGCACTTACAAAAGAAAATGGAGCAGAAGTGGTAAAAACCTTTTGTTGTTTGTTCATGTAAGCTCGGTTTGTCAAGGAATTTGAATAATTTCCTATAATCACTCACCGAGCAGCCCTCCTCACTCAGCTCCTTCAGACTAGCCAGCAGCAATTAGCAAACATCTAGTGGAACAGTCCATCTGCAGAGCTCATTATATGAGCCACTTCTTAGTATTATGCTGATAAAAACTTTGTTAAGGTGTTAATAGAGGAGCTATGTTGTGATTACTTTCTGAAGGCAGAGTTTCAGGAAGAGCAGGACTGTCTTAAAGAGACAGAGCCCCAATTTCAAGACGTTAAATTACAAATTTCTTTTACGTCATAATTGATATATACAGCATTTCTAAAACAACTGAAGGTAACATAGTTACAAAATCTGTGTTATAAAATGAAACTGTGTGTTTGGACAACACATGGTAGCAGCCCTCAAAGTTTTGTTACTGGACCAAAAAAATCCAGCAATGTTTTTCTCGCATTTCATTGTGAAAGCAGTAATCTCTGCTCCAGATGTCTCTCCAGGCCTCAACCAGATGTGTGCCGTCTTCAGTTCTATGAGTGGAATGACAATGCTGATTAGAATCAACGAGGATGCTACATATTTACACCAACTGGTGCCTCGTTTCACTCAGATCACTGAAAGATCAGCGAAATACAAGGAAGACAGTCTGAACAACCTCTCTCCTCCTTCCTCGCCACACAAGGACAGAAACAGCAGCCATCTTTTTCACTGAAAGCGTCCTTGTTCCCATTACCTAACATCTGTGCCTACAAATACACAAGTTCTCAAACAGACGTTGTACTGAGAGCACAGCAGAGAAATCTGCATCCTTCTACGTTTCTCCACAGCC